AATTTGAGTTGCTCTGAAGGTGTTATGTAGCGGAATTACTGAGGAATTACATCGCTGCAATAATCCTCATTACTATCGCTGCCATTCACTGCACAGATTACTTAATGGGTTTAATGCTGAGTCAGTTTATTGTAAACATCTTCCAGTGAATGAATACACATCACTTATTGCTGATTGGCTACAAGTTTGTTTTGCTATTCGGCCCGAATCAGTTTTCTAAAGCGTTTTTGAAAAATCACTTACTCTGCCTTTAAGCATCGATATGTTTTGAAAGTCCTATGACAGACATCAGTGTGCTCACATCAAGAATTGGTTTCTGAACAAGAGTTATTTTGCCTTTTCATTTACATAAAGTTGAGCATTTCTCTGCTTTTGGATGCTCTCATCATGTTCTTCCCTCAGCTCCTGTAGAAAATAAATTTATTTACTTCAATTTAAGTTAAAAAAAACCTTTCAAATCTCACAAAGTTTCACATCAATAGTGTAATTTGTGCTTTCATATCTCATAACTGATCGTCATGCGCAAAATGTTATTACAGCGGACCATTGAATTGTCATCTTAATGACTATGGTATGTTTACTTTCTATTCATGTTTTATATACTTTTGCTACTTGATTTTAAGAGAGACATTTCAAGAAATCTTGAAATTGAGATTAAGAAATTTCGATTTTTTTATTAAAGTATTTTTATTTTTTGTTCATGTTAGCAAATGTGGTAATGTGGTAAGTAATATTAATAAATTAAACTTTATTGTAAAGTGTTTATCTGTTAAGCCAAATTCAGGTACTTTGCTGATTTATTAAATTACTTTTTATTATTTATAAATTGCTTATTATTATTATTATTATAATATTGCAGCATCTCAAAATCCAGAAACCAACTTATTCTGGAGAGCTCACTTACAGTATGTCTGCAGTATGGGTCATTTGGTGTTCCGTTCAGTCATTTCCAGGTCAGAGTCTGTTTTTGTGTGCTGTGTGAGCAATGCCATTACAAAACTGGTTTTGGATGGGAAAACGTATGAGTGAGGACTGTGTTTGGTCATTTGTGGTTACATCACATTAAAGTGCTGCAGAGAGAGGTACTCAGAACCTGCCTTCCCTTTAAATCTCCTGATCACGTCCCAATCCGCCCCTGCCATGCCGAGACGCCTTAAGCTTCTTAGGGCCTAATCTGGGCCCTGGGCTCCTAGGGGAGCACATGTACACTGTCCAGAGAGGAGGTGCTAAACTGTGGCATGTGACCATGTGAATGCGCCTTCTCTCAGAATATGGTGGGCTTATAAAGCATGGATGCAGTGTTGAAAACACTGATGCTGAATCTGTATAACTGCGGAATGGAGATGGGTTTTAACGTTATTACACATGATTGGGGAATATATGATTGGGCATATTCATTAGATGTATTTGGATGTGCATATTAATTCTAAGTGGTATACAAGAATTTGTCACAAATAGGGTTTTGCGGTATTTGCAAATATCAGGACAGCAAATATGAAGACCACAGGGTACTACTATTCAGTGCAGTCCAGACAGGTTCCTGAACCCAGTTACTCTGAGCCACTTCACAAGCTTTTATTTGTGGAAAACACACTAAAACTCACAAATCTTCATGAAAAACTGACAAAATAAGTTTGGTTCATCTTGAAATTATGACAAATATATACTCAAATATTTATTTCTCAGAGTAATAATAATATTATTATTATTTCAGGAATATCATACAAGATATTTTTTCATCCATGCTTTAATTTATACAGTTCTGTTGTACAGCATCTTGTTTGGCAAAAAAAAGAAAGAAAATGCAGCGTTTTCTTCTAAATTAATTGTTATATTTTCATTTGATTACATTTTAAAATATCGATTAAACTTTTAGCTTCATTAGTTTATTTAATTAGATCATTTTTTAAATGATACGTTTGTATTATTAAATCATAAAACGCAGAATCCAGAAAAATAAAATGGAAAAAAAACAGAATTAATTTCATGCCATGGGGTCCTAAGTTAGCTACTCTGTGGAGTTTGTGAACAAGCAAGATATGTTTACATTCATTCTCAAGGTCTGACAAACATGTGGAAAGCATTTCCTTCCCCATTAACGGTAAGTGAATTGTGTGATAAATATCAATATTATATGATATGGAAAAAAATACTGTAAAATTTTTGGCCTTATTTCCCAGCCCTACATCACCTACACAGGTCTGATGAAGTCATTAAAAAAGACCTATATTATATTACTACAAAGTGCCATTGCACATTATTACACGTTGGCAATTTAACACTTTGCATACAACTAGAAATGAAGAAATAACCATATATTTTAATTTATTAGGATTAACTAAATGAAATACAAGGTCAGATGTTGTAGGCTTAATAAATAACACCCTAATTAATTTCCAACATGGTGATAAAAATATGCACAAATGAAGTAAATTCCTATTTTAAAAATATTGCATACATTGCAGTTAGGTTGTAAAAGTGTTTTAGAATTGTTACATTAGCTAATTTTGTAAAGTCACCAAAAATCTTTCATATTTTTTAAATAATACTTACTTTATTACATATATTTTATGTTTTTAAAGTAACAAATTACATGCTACATCATCCGGAGTTTTCAGTTAACATGTTATTATTAGTTGTTACTAAACAGACGATGTATTTCTACACAATAAGACAATGTGTGACAATTAGAATCATGTCTAAAAGGGGTTTTATTTTGAAACGGAAATGACATTATCCAGCCCTAATTTCACAAATCACTCCCCAGAATGTCTGCTCAGGAAATCAGACACAAAAAAATCTGAATATTAAGTGCCAACAACTGTGCATTTTAATAGAGAGCTCATTTGCAATTTAAATGCCGCTGTTGTGTAAGCCCTGATGAATTGCATGTGATGTTTTTACTCGCATTATTGTTTGTCCTTGCTTGGCTAAATGCTGTGGATAGGGGTTCGTTCCCTTTCAGACATTTATATCTGTCCAGACTAGTTCAGTTGGTGCTCATTTGGAAGTTTATTCAAGATGGATTTTAATACAGATATTATAAATACCCAGTAGTTTGTTTGAGCACTCTGAACAGGAAATCATGAATCACTGCTCTTAGCCTAAAATACTAATTTATTACCATTGCTCTGAGTAAAACATATGGGTGATGACCGAATCATTGTAATAGTAATGGCTTATTTTTAATGTGGCCTCTGTTTGTCTAAGCAGGGTCTAATTTATTTGTCAAATAACATCCCACGGGAACAGTCATTCTGGCATCTCTAATGAACTGCCTAAGAATGAGTCAGAATTCCGATCTGCTCAATTCATGGGTACGTCTCGCAAAACATACCCACAATGCACTACCTACGGAGCAGCAAACACTAATTGGCACTGTCACTTCTCACGCTTTCGGCGATTACTGAAGCAAAAATAGTGTGGTCTGTGAGTGCACGTGTGTTTATATTACATGTGTGCAGGTTTAGTGTTGACAGTGAAAATCCGTTTTTTACTAAATCAAGCATCTGGGCCTTTGCAACCATGTAGCAGTGTGATTTTAACAGAACACTCCAGTTCAGGTGTAAATGAAAGATCAATTTTGGTTGCAGATATAACATCTGCTATGAAGTGAATGATTGCATGGGAATTTGTAGCAGATACTGCAGTGTCTTCAGTCACACTTTAGTTTGAGGACCAATTCTCACTATTAAATCACTATTGACTTTTTAAACTGAACATTGAAGTATGGCTTTTACCTCAAACTCCTAATTTGCTGCTTATTAATAGTCGGTAGTTAAGTTTAGGTTTGGGGTAGGATATTAAGGGATCTGTAATATCAGCATGTAGAAAGGCATTAATATGCGCATTAGTAATATGAATGCTAATAAGGAACTAGTTGATAATAATCATTGCTTAAAAGGTTGCACAAGTTGTTTATCCAGAAGCAAAAGAGAAAACTGCTGTGGCTTATTATGTCTTAAGTCTGAGGGGAAAGTTTATGTAAGGACATATGAAATCACTTGAATAAGTCTTGTGCAATCAGAATTTTGGGTTTATGTTTTATATATTTTTATATTATATTATTGTATACATTTATATTTGTATTATTATTATGTTTCTTTAGTTTAAAATGTAATAAAATAAAAGTATTTTAATAATTATAATAATGCCCCCATAGTCTGTAGATGTTAAATGCTTTAATGCTTTTAAAATGGCAAGATTTGTCCAAATAATTCCAATTGTGATTTTTGAATAATTCTTGCAGTTATTTTTCTTTTTTGTATTTTGTTTTTCTTTCTTTGGTTAAGATTTATTTTTGGCATTTTTACCTTTATTTCATCGACAATAGAGACTTCACAAGAGAGAAACACCAGAAACACAACCGCTCCATAAGGAGCCCATGTATGGGCTTACATTTCTGCCACAATTCTGCGCGCGAAAGATCATATTTTGAGCGCACAAAAGTGCATTTTGCACACGCGCGATCTGAGTTTGTGGAGAAAATGTTCGTTTCGCAAAGAAAAAAGTCTTTCGAGCGCACGGAAATCAGTTTTGCATTTAAAATACGGGTTGTGTTGAGCACGCGAGCTGTTGGCATTTAGCGAGCACTGAGGGGGGCATCAAGTGAGCAAGCTAGTGAAACGTTGCACGTGCAAAAGAGAAGGTCTGCACACATCCAAAAACGTATTTTAAATGCAAAATTGATTTCCGTGCGCTCGAAATACTTTTTTCTACATTTTCTCCACAAACTCAGATCGCGCGCGTGCAAAATGCACTTTTGTGCGCTCAAAATATGATCTTTCGCGCGCAGAATTGTGGCAGAAATGTAAGCCCATACCCATGAGGCTATCGGCTCTCTGTATCAATACGAATAGTTAAGATACGAACTTGAACTGCTGATGTAATCATTACAACATTGACTCACAAAATGTATATAATGCTTGTAGGGAGCAGGATCACTTAATTTGTAGAGTTAAATTAGTAAAATCTAAATATGTTTATTTTTTTTTCTGCAGACTATCTGTGTGGTCCAGAAGACAATGTATACAATATTGACTTCACACGGTTCAAGATCAGGGATATGGAGACAGGAACAGTACTGTTTGAGATCACCAAACCACCAGCCACAGGTGAGTGTGAGCGGCCACTTCCAGCAGGTTACTGGTTCCAGTCATGTGATCAGCGGCATGGAGAGGTATTGGATCTCGTGGGGATCTAACTAACATTACCAAGTCAGGCACACTCTCTTTTAGATTTTTATTGGACTTGCTACTAATATAAATGTGTTACATCCATAAATACACAGTTATTGACACGGTTATAATTAATGTACCCAAACCTTTTGTTACACAAGTTACATTTTATTACATCTACTTATTGCTTTGGGTCATGTTGAACAAGTTACAGTCACACCAAAATTTATTCAGACACCTTCAACATTTCTCACATTATTAGGGATGGGCGATATGGGCTTAAAAATATTTCTGGTATTTATTACAATAACGATATCAATGACGATAATTCAGGGAATCCTGTTTCTTTTAAGAAATGTATTATCTTTTATTATCCCAAAATAGGGTGAGCATTAATGAGTTCACACCGAGCGGCAACCTCCCGCTCTCTCTCATGAAGCCAACAAGGAAGTGACTTATACTGTAATTCGTCAACTGGCCGCTAGAGGCTGGCTGCAAAAGGGAGTCAATCCCATAGAGTTAAAATGCCCAACTTTACAGCAGAAAAAAACATGTTTACAGCCTGGTTCAAAAAATGGTTTTGGTCTATATAGCTAATTTTGCCCTTCATGACAACCTCGAGGGGGTGAATTTTTTTTATAACTCATCCGTTTAAATTATATTAAGCCTTAAAGTTTACTTTTGAGTAAACTTTAAGTGACAGTTAAAGTCACTTGAGTGACAGGTGGATTGCCGCTGCTGTCACCACCGTCGAGCTAGGTGGGCGTGGTTTCAGCAGCCAGCTCCCGCCTTTTTGCGACTGTTTAATTCATACTGGAAGCCGGAGGGCGCTCTTGCACAGAAACTCCACATATCCATAGCAGAAGAAATACGACTGACCATTTTTTTTTTATTTTTTATGAAGTAACATGGGGCTAACAGACATCATCACATGACGTTAGACAAGCTACACAAATTAACAAAATATACCAATGATAAAAAAGAAGAAAAAAAAAAAAAAAAAGAAAGAAAGGAAAGTCTTTTAAAGATAGCTTACAATTGATTTTTTCGATTGCCGCTAGCAGCACAGAGTTAGATACCGTGTCGGGGGTGTTTGTTCGAGATTTCTTCTGAGCAGGGGACTTACTAGGTGTGTCCAGAGAGCTCCCAAATGCATTTTCTAGGCGTCTTGCATAATTATGCACCTTTAGATTATCGCTGTTTGCAGAAGCCTCAACAGAGGCTGTGTCCATATCTTCGTCCATGTTTGTAGCAACCGAGCTTTACTCAGGCGTAGAAAGTAATAAAAAACAAAAAAAAGGGTCCCGAAATCGTTAAAGACAGTCTTAAAAGAGTATGCTGAACTTCCGCAACAAGTTATAGAAAAAATTGGTCATAGAAATTCAAAGCTTTAAGCACCGCATATAAAATAGAATAAGAGCGAGATAAAGTTGTTGTTAACGCGGCGCCATCTTGACACCCCCCCTTCATACGACCGACCATGCTCCAGGAGGGTATCCAGTTATCGCTGAATAAAACGCACAACGGAGGTAGAGACATTTTAACTGATGAAACTTGAGGAAAATAAACATACGACTGCACAAAATATATGGTTTATCTGTGTTCTTCAATCTTGGGTATTTTTATAAGGAAAGTATATTTATAATGCAATGTTAATCGACATGGCCTTTATCACTGTATATAATACTATCATTCTGTAATATGAAACCACGCCTGGTCACAAAAAGAAGTATTTCAAACACTCGACTATGTTCTTAAGTTAATTTGGAGAAAAAGCATGTCAATAAATTATATCTTTGCCAGTTACAGATTGTAAAAGGAGCTCGAGCTCCTCATTTAGCGATATAGGCTACTCCTCAATTTCACGTCCGCTTTCCGTGATGTCGCTCCGCACTGTCGCACACAGAAATATGTCAACAACTAGACTTTATCGTTATTATCGCAGGAAGACTAATTCTTATCGTGGGGAGAATTTTTACCGGTATATCGAAAACGATAAGATATCGCCCATCCCTACACATTATCAGTTTATTTGCTATAGTTTAGAAAATGGTAATAAAATGTGACGGACTCCGAGTTAAACTGTGTCAGAACAAATTCATCTTGATAATGTCAGATAACTTTGATAGAAAGATATGTAATTAATTAGGTTCAGGCACGTGCACAGGTAGGGCTCAACCTGTGCAGAGCACATGCCCTTTTTGTCCTTACACTCCGAAGTGCCTTTTTGGCTGTAAATACGGGATGAGTACGGTTTCTCCCACGATCTTGACACCTCTTTTATTTAGCATGGAGATCGGGGAAAAACGGAAGGCCTCCGTCGTGAAGGCTGTGATCTGGATTCAGAAAACGCTCGTCTAATTATTTTTAGGACGTGCGTCCTGTTTCTAGGCTGGCCAAACGATATTTTATTTTGGCGACTGCACGAAACACACCCCATAATCACGAATCACATCTCGTACGCGAGGGACTGTGGTGGCGAGTCCACAGTCTCCTCTGTCTCGACACTCATCACATCCACCTCCTCGGAGGAAGATAGATGAAGCGTCTGGCTCTCTCTCTCTCTCTGGGGGGGAACCGCAGCGCGGGCTTCCGAACCTTGAGAGAGAGCCGCGGATCTAGCGAATGAGGACCGAGAAAAGGACGAGCCCGTCTCGGATCCCTCCGCTAAATCCACCCGCGATCCCCACGACAACAGTCTACGCCGTGCCTCGGCAACAGCGGGACCGCTACCAGCGGGATCGCGAGCCTGGCCGCTCTCATCAAACACAGCCAGGCGAGAGCGGAGCATACACAGCGAGAGCTCGCAGTGATGACAATCAGCTGCTCGAAAGCTGACCGTGCATGCTCCGCTCCCAAACAAACGACACACAAATCGTGTGTATCCCCCGCCGCCAGATATCGTGGGCAGGGGGGAACACAGCGTTTGTAATGCCGTTCGCTCGCCATAAACTTTTTCATGATTGTTAAATCTTTATATTTTATCATGCAGAATGTAATGTGTGTACACACACACACACACACATTATATATATATATATAATATATTTTATATATATTATTATTATATATATATATATTTATTTATCATTAAGATGTGACCAGTAAAAAAAAGGAGGGGGGTGCCCTTTTTCAGTTTCAGCACATGCCCCTCAAAAGGTCTGTGCACGGCCCTGATTAGGTTGAATAGCTGTCAGCTGGTAAATTTAATTACACAATTAGATAAAACCAATTTAGGTCAACCGGTTACCAAGCAATGCTTAGTTTTGTTCAGTCTGTGGTATCGGTCAGTCGCATTAGCAATTAAAGAAAAAACGTGTAAGCAAAACATGGTCAGGTCAAAGTGTCTGAATGATTTTTTTACTGGTTTTACTGGTAGGCCACTGTATGAAGAATTTTTGGGTATATGTCACAGTTTACTTTATTTAGCTATCCCCACTTATATAAATGAACTATAGTGTCCTGCACCCACTCGTAAAAAAAAAAAAATGTATCTGGTGTCTGAATAATTTTTGGTTTGACTGTATATTTAATAGGCTACTGCTTAACAGTCCTTTTAGACAACAAACTTACGGGCTTCACATTTGACACGGCAAAGAACAGTTTCAGTGTGTGGTTACAGATAAAATCAATTAATAATCAGGTGCAGCAGTGATATGTGATATGCTGGCATATCAGATATCGTTTGCCCCTAAAAAGGTGTTTGTTAGCATGAGGTTACCATTTGACCAAAATCCACACTGGATCGCAGTCAGAAGTTATTACAAACACTCAATAGTCATTGATTTTGACATTCAAGTAGAAGTGTTGTATTAATCTCATTAATTGTCATGTGCTACAGCTTGAAGCTATTGTAATTTATACGTTACCCATATACGATTATATTTCCATATGTATTTTATCAAATCACATAAGTTTGTAAGAAACTGTTTAATTTTCCAAAAAGATTTTTAATTATAGTAATATAATGTACCACATGCTGATCAGAGGGATGTGGGTGGGATGTAATGTCAGAGTAAAGTAAAGACAAAATCAATATAATGCAATATTTCTATCTGCTGAATGTAAGCTTTTCCATATTCCAAGCTTTCCTGATGCACTGGTGACTTCATGTGCCTGTGCGAGTCGTGAAAATTATGAAAATAAATCTAGGAATTATTTTATTGTTGGATTTTAAATCAGCAGGGTTGAGGCATCAAAAGTAACTAAGCTGTTTTATGGATGGTAACTGTAATATTATTACTGAAATCTTATTAGTAATTAGTTACACTACTAGTTACTGCAAAAAGTAATATTATTACAGTAACTAAGTTACTAGTAACTAGTTACTGCTTAACACTGGTTACCATTTATGTAATAACTAGCCTTTTGGCTTTTGAATTGCATGTTATAAAGAATATTGCAGGACTGTTTCCAGTTTCATTATTCCCTTCCAGTATTCGTGGCTCTTTTTTTAAATACAGTTGCAAGCAAGCAGCAATTACAGGCAAGCAAATCAACTGCAGTCTGAAGAGACAAATGAGCATGTCTGAAGAATCTGATGATTCCACAAACATAATATTAGGCAGAGCAGTTCAATGTTTTGAGAAAATTAAACTATTTTAACCACCTACAAAGATTTCCAGAGTTATAGAGAGGTAATAATAATTTGGCAGTGGCTATTTGCACTAAGTGTAAATAGCGATAGATGCTATTTACACTAAGTGCAAATAGCAATGGATTTTCTTTACACTAAGTAAAAATAGCAGTATTTTTTAGTGATATGGTTTTCGCTACAAAACCCGCCCAATTACTACTCAAAACTAGCCTGAAAATAGCCCAATTGCTTTCGAGGGGATCCCCCAGTAAAAATCGCTTTGGGGGGTAAAATACACGTTTTACTGCGTGATTGTCACTCGCGTGTACGAGCACCGATTTGCCTCCGATTTCGGGCATTTGACGGCGATTTCCCAAAACCTGTCGGCGAGTGAAAAATCGGGCTAAAATCGTGCAGTGTGAACTCGGCATAAGTGCAAATAGCTATAGATTCTATTTACGCTGTTAAAATAGCAGGATTTTCTGCTATTTATACTACTTATTGCAAATA